TTTCAGCTCATAACAGAGGAGCCTTAGCACTAGCGCTCCACTGGCCCACAGTGAAGTAAATGCCACAGCTCACAACTAGACTCCTAACAAAATCCAAATTAACTCTGATATTACACAGTGGAGAGAGGAGGCAGTGCAATTGGTGTTGTTTAGACCAGGGGTCTCCAAACTTTTCTGCCCGAGGGCCGCATTAACTATCAAACAGCAGTTCGGGGGCCGACTACACACTTGAGGTCCAAATAAAAAACAATCAAAACATGGATGTTGTTTTTAATTATTTATTTAATATTATTTTATTCAGTTATTATTTAATAACACATTCATACACTACACATGAACACCTGTATTAGTGTGAATGGTGAAATTGTTTCCTGGATGCCAAAATAGCAGACATTTCTGGCTTTAGATTTGTTGTCCCTAACATCAACAGTGACCTGAGATTATCATCGGACAAGTTTGTTCTCAAATTGTTCTTCACGTATTTCATTCTTGAAAATGTTTGTTCACACAGGTATGTTGTTCCAAAGATTGAAAGGTACCTTGATGCAAAAGTTTTGACATTAGGAAAGTCTTCCTTGGGCAAAAACTGGTAAAAACCCACCAGTCCTATTTTGAACTTGTCCCTAAGGAGGTCATTTGCTTGCAACTCAATGACTTCCAGCTGCAGTTCATCTGGGCAACTGGCCACATCTGCTTCAAATGGGTTTTGAAACAATCTCACTTCTTCTGCCTTTGAATCCAAAAAGGTCTCCACGGGCCGGATGAGAGGCCCTCGCGGGCCGCATCCGGCCCCCGGGCCGCAGTTTGGAGACCCCTGTCTTAGGGTATAGATTATTGTTCAAACATAAAGACTAAAATGAAACAATTGAATTGAAAATGTGGACTGCTGCCCCAGCGCCCTCGCTCCCCTCCCCGTGGGCTTTCCCCTGGGCTCCGCTGCGCTGCGCTGCGCTGCGCTGCGCTTCTCCAGGGGAGGGGCTGTTAGTGCGGGGAGTTTCTTCCCCGTCACAGTCTCCACGGGCTGGATGAGAGGGCCTCGCGGGCCACATCCGGCCCGCGGGCTGTAGTTTGGAGACCCCTGGTTTAGACCCTCAGACAAGACTCCACCACCAAATACAAAAACCTGTCCCCAGCCTCTCTCAATTTGACTAGGTTTGGAACCCATGCCCCTAGTCTAGCGAGGGCTACTTAGTTTATGGCGAATCCCTCTGTCATAAACAGTTCCACCATTCCATTGTCCTTGATTCGCACAATCAGGGTAACAACGCTTTTATCCCCCCTGCCTCAATAACAGAGAAACTGGGGATCCCACAGTGGCCAAAGTGACCATTTGGGCTGCTGTGAGCACATACTAGACAGGGTGGGTGTGTCTATGCAAATTGCGCTCAGCCCCTGAAGTCTCTTTGCACCACTTGCCACAATTCACCACCAGATGTCAGGATAGAGTTTACCCTGCCCCCCCTTACATACATCTCACCTTTTACTTGAATGAACTAAAAATAGGCACACAAGAGTTGGCTGGGGTGATGTGTAGGGCTGCCAGGTTTTGCCTTCTGCCCTAGGGTGGCTGCCTTTGGTGACTGCACATTACAGACTCTCTGCAGTTGAACCCATGTGCTTTTTGATCCCCGGATGAAAAGTGCTGTATAAATGTAACACTCCTTCATTCATGCACTGGTCTGTCCATCAATCCCAAGCGTATAGTTTGGTTTTTTTGTGTGGTGAACCATGCCATGTTTAACACCATCTCAAAGTCCCTGTCGGCTTTCTTTTTCATTCTCTGTCAGGGTTATGTTTAAATTGTGATTTCCATTCTTCTTGACTATACTAAGATTGTTTTAAAATGCAGCCGTGTCTAGTAATGTGTCGTGTTTTAGCCATAACTAACTAGTAAAGACAAATAGGGGAACAGGGAATAGGCTGAGATGCATGTCAATACAATTTTTTTAGCCACTGGAAGACTGATTAGTTTTTCCGATTTAGATGAATTTTTCCAGCTGAAATATGGTGGCAGGAGGGAATGAAACCTACAAAAACAAATGAAAGGCCTACAGATTAATCAGATAATTGCAATAAAACTCACAGAGCATCTGTAAATGCACCCTCTGTTTTTAAACACTTTGAACTAAATATCTGATCATGAAACAAGCTGTCAGGTGAATAGAAATCACACACACGCTGCGGGGAAATGTAATGATTATTAGGTCAGTTAAATGAACAAACCAATTAAATTAACTCGTCTGCCGTGCGCCAATTTATGTCAGTGAGATAATATAATGAAACCCTACAAACACACACCTGTTAGGGGAACAATGCACAGACCTAAATGCAGCGTGCACTGAAGGATAAAACTGTCTCTCTGCACAATTACAGCAGCAACTATTAGCAGGGAAGACAGGAGGTTGATCTTGCACTGCACAGGTGTGGCACCTGTAAGTGATGAGCAGGGCACAGAATTTAAGGAGAGTGATATGATGTGGACACATAGCTTCTCCTGCCTAGAACAGTCAGCCAGATCATTCTCCCTCTCCCACCACGGGTCACATATCCTGTGATGGCTCTTGCTATTTTCAACAGCTGCAGTTTTATTGTAGCGCCTTACAGCCCCAATCAGGAACCAGAACCTCACTACGGGTACGTCTAGACTATACCTCTCTGTTGACAGAGAGATGTAGATTAGGCACATCGAAATTGCTAATGAAGCAGGGATTTAAATATCCCGCGCTTCATTAGCATCAACACGGCAACCGCTTTTTTTCGAAACGGCGCTTTTTCAAAAAAAAACCCGGCAGTCTAGACACAGATCTGTCGAAAATAAACCCTTTTTCAACAGATCCTGGAAACCTCATTTTTTGAAGAATACAGGATCTGTCAAAAAAAAGGTTTATTTTCGACAGATCCGCGTCAAGACGGCCGGGTTTTTTTTCGAAAAAGCTCCATTTCGAAAAAAAGCAGTGGCCATGTTTATGCTAATGAAGCACGGGATATTTCGACGTGCCTAATCAATATCTCTCTGTCGACAGAGAGGTGTAGTCTAGACACAGACCCAGTGAGATGCTGTACAAACAGAACAGAAAGAGGGTCCCTGCTGCAAAGAGCTTCCAATCTATGGAGAACATGACAGGAAACTGATGAATACAGACAGATGGAGGAGTTAAAAAAAAATGGGACAGCGTGGTCAGTATGATCTCAGCACCCCAGCAGCTTACCCATCATCAAGTTATTGTAGGCCTCGTGGCAGAGGAGAGTTTCAAGGAAGGCTCTGAAGGAGAATGAATTAGCTTGGCAGATCTTTACAGGGAATTTCCACCAAGCACACACACACTGTGTCTTTATGGAAGACTATGTTCATCGTCTTCTTTCCCAGGCCTCTCTGGAAAGCCTGCACTGAGTCAGGATTAGCAGGGTTTAAAAAACCTTGTATGCTTCCCTTGAAAAACAAACTTAAAAAAAAAATCTCAGTGGAAAATTCTTTGGATTCCATATTAAATCAAACTGAATAGGGATGTGAAAAGTTAACCAGTTACCAGATAAGCATCATCCTTAACAGGTGATGCTTAATGGTTCTGGGTAACCAGTGGGGGTTGGAACAGCTTCCTGTCCACCACAGGCAGAAGGCCTGCTCCAGGGCCCGCCGCGGAGAGGGGTTGCTCCAGTGTCTATAGCAGCATCTGTTCATGGTGGGCCTGGGTGCCCCGTCGGCAGGGGTAGCTCTGCCTGCAGCTGAGAGGCCTCACCAGTTCAGGGAATGACAGGTGGGGCCATTCCTGACCCTTCCACTCCCTTTAATCAGTTAACTGGTTCAATAATACATTTAACCCATTCACCAATTAAAGAGGATTCTACATCCTGAAATCTGAAAGTGCTGGCTGGGAGGTTTCAAACCTCTGGACATTTCCCCTTTTTATCTTCCCCCACCATAGAAGAGAAGTGAAAAAGCCAAGGAAGGGAGGGAGGGAGGAATGGACCAAAAATGACTAGGCGATAATCATCATTTTAATTTTTCATTGAGAAACTGGAAATTTTCAATGGCAATTTATTTTTTTCCCACAAAAAATGTTGGTTGGGTCCAGAAAATCATGTTTTGGCCAGGTGTTAAATTAGTGACCATCAGCAGTCAGTAGGCACCCACAGGGGAAGGGGGTGGGTGAGGGACCGTAGGTGCTTATCTACCCCTCCTGCCACTCAAATCCTTCCACCAAACCCTGCAACCGATCCTGAGGTTCTGTCATGGAACAATTCCACCTCTGCTACAGGGTGATGGCAAGGAGCGCTACGCCTTGAGCCAAGGCACAGGGTCACCCCTGCAGTGCCCCTGCAGCAAGGGGAGAACAGATGTCTGGGGGAAAGGCCCCCTGCCTCACTGCTATTCACTGGAAGGAGGGGGCCAATTTTACTTATATGTATTGCAATAGTAACAAGAGGCCCCAAATGGGAACGGCACCCAATAGAGCTAGGGGCTGAACAAACATAAACACATAAGGCTACGTCTTACATTGCATCCCTCTTGCGCAAAAGCCTATACAAATGAAATGTAGATTAGCATATTGTCGCACTTCATTTGCATAATTAATTAGGGACTGTTTTTGCGCAAGAGGCTTTTGCACAAAAAGGAGCCATCTATACAGCTCCTTTTTGCTCAAAAACCCCCTCTTGCGCAAGAGTCATTGTTCCTGAAAAATGAGGAAGAACGGCTCTTCCGCAAAAGCCTCTTGCGCAAAAACGGCCCCTAATTAATTATGCAAATGAAGTGCAGCAATATGCTAATCTGTGCTTCATTTGCATAGGCTTTTGCGCAAGAGGGATGCAGTGTAGACGTAGCCATAGTGAGAGTCAGTTTGTGCCTCAAAGACCTTACAGTCTAAACAAACAAGCCAAAGCAGAGAGGGAGAACAGAGTAAAGGAACTTGCCTGAGATCACACAGCAGGTTAGTAGTAGAGCCAGCAGCCTAAGTCACAGGCCAGTGTCCTAACAACTAGTCCATGCTGCCTCTTTGACCATGAATCGGGACAATCCTGTGGTGGGCAAATTGAGGCCCTGGGACTACACATCGGTCTCATCCAGAGGGCAGTTCAGAAAGTCTGCGATCCGACCCCCACGTAGTGTTGTGAGTGCAAATCCATATCCTTCACATGCCTTAAATTCTAAGCAGCTACAAAATAGATCCTAGGTTTGGCTCTCTCTCCCCCTTCCTTCCCTGGTAAGACTTCCTTCTGCACTTTCCATTCTTTGTTCTCAGTCTCTAATCTCAGAGGGGTAGCCATGCTTGTTTTTAAAGTTACAGACAATGAGTGGTCCTGTAGCACCTTAGCCCTGGTCTACACTAGGGAATTCTTTCAAAATAACTCCCCGTATTTCGAAACAACAAGCAGAGCATCCACACTTCCAAGCCCATTATTTCGAAATAAGGAGCTGTTTGTTTTTTTTAAATAACTCCTGCTTTCCACAAGGAATAAGGATAATTTTGAAATAGTTATTTCGAAATAGCGTTAGGGTAGATGCGCTGATGCCCCTATTTTGAAATAACTTCTCCCCAGAGTAATTCAAACTAATTACTTCCCAGTGCTTCCTGAGGCTTCACATTAACAGAGCCTACCTTGGACGCATTTTGAGGCTTCCCCAGAGTGGACACGCTATTTTGAAATTATTATTTTGGGAGTTATCACTGTGAAATAAGTTACTTTGAAATAATTTCCTATTGTAGACATGCCCTTAGAGACTAACCAAAATATGCAGAAATATGAGCTTTGCCCATGAAAGTTCAAGATTCTATTTATTTTGGTTAGTTTCTCTAAGGTACCACAGGACCACTGAGTCTCCAGTGTAAGTCATCAGTTTTGTCTGGTAGGCGTAAGATAAGAAGAGAGCGAGTGAAAAAGACACAGCAAGGGAGATTACTAAAGCACATGCCCTTAGAGACTAACCAAAATATGCAGAAATATGAGCTTTGCCCATGAAAGTTCAAGATTCTATTTATTTTGGTTAGTTTCTCTAAGGTACCACAGGACCACTGAGTCTCCAGTGTAAGTCATCAGTTTTGTCTGGTAGGCGTAAGATAAGAAGAGAGCGAGTGAAAAAGACACAGCAAGGGAGATTACTAAAGCACAGTTTG